CTTACCATCAGGAAAATTGTGAAGCTGCTCAACTTGTGGCCCGCTCATCGTAAACTTCCGGGTCTTTTGCACAGCTATTGCTCAGGATCAAGTTCGTTAGATCCTTAGTTCTGTAGGTGGCTAGCACTGTTACTCAAGCGCACACTGAGCACATTAATTATCAGAGGCCCTTTGTATTGTTCGAACGAGGCGCGTCTGTTATGAGCGACCGGATAGTGGGTGGTAGGCCTCACACTCTACCCGACCATCTTCAATTGACAAACCTGTGAGAACAAATCCAACGCATGCAAACACTGTTCTTATGAATAATCCACGCTCTAGTTGTAGTTACTCTTCGAATGCGCAATGACCTCAACACGAATCACTTGATGAATGCACCGAAACGGATACGTAAGATTAGAGATAATTGTAACTAGTGCTTTTGTTTGATACTTCGCGGGCTCTCCTTTTGTCGTTGTGCATTTATCTACGTGACTAGATGTAGCTCTGAGCCTGAACAGACATCGATTAGCAGCACGTTCGCGATTCTTCAGCCGCCTGGAGCCGTTCGCTATCGGGCCAATATTTTATAAATTATAGTACAATTTTATCTCGTCATACTTCGCACTTATCGAACATCCATCTCGCTATGTTATTGACACTAGCGCAGATACACCTGGGCGTTTCAGCATCAGCTCTCGTTTACTCGATGAAGGCCAACATTTCCAATCACTTGAATTGACCTTTACCTAAACCATTATTGTTGCTATCGCAATTCCAAGCCGTATACTGGCGCTTTGCCGTAACGCTGTCCCTAACCGGGCAATGGTATCAGCTCGGATCTACCGGTATTTGTCGTTTGTAGCTTCACTGGGGTTTCGTTGAGACGTTTTGCGATTGTGCGTCGCTGCTACGGGGTGTCGTGCTTCGCCGTCAATGGGCGAGACCCGTTACGACGGGAAAGGAACGGAACGAAGAAGCGAGCTGACGTTTGTGAACGAAAAAGCACGTCTTGCATCCATACATTGGTCTATCCGTCCGATAGACTTTGGTCGTCGCCGCGACCGCTCCTTTATTGCTACGATGACATTAGCTGAGATTTGCCACTGCCAATTTTGCTTCTCTATTCGTATCTGTTTAATTGTTCGGCCGACGTCGACTGCTTGGGCGTTTTAGTGGCTAAATCAGACTATCGGAATAAATAGCTAAGTTCGTTATTTAATCTAGCTGCTTATTTATATTGCTTTTACCGAAATCATTCGGGGGATTCTGTACTTCTATTTTTATTATCATTGTTGCTGGTAGCAGTCGGAGCTACCTCGTCGGCCGATCAGTTCTGTTAAGTTAATCGTGCGTAATTAGGAGAAATAAGGATGTTTGCTAGGCAACTAATGGATAGTTGAAGCGATCGGTGTTGATCATAATTCTCGATATTCGTTAAGTACATTTTAACTTGGAAGATACTCTGGAGAATTAACTAGTTTACTCGAACCAAGGACATAGTGAATTTCGACGTGTTGAAAGACGTGAAAGCGCCAAAGGCGTTACTATTTAGATGCGTTCAGAGCCCGAGCTCGATCTTCGATGCATTTCGTTGGTTATACATAGTATATAGATGTGTTTGCGTGCAAGACTTATCGAAGATGACAACAAATAACGCAAATATACAGTGTCACTATGGATTTGGAATGTCGTAGTAAATTTTTCGTTATCTGCCGTATATTTTAAAAACCGAGAATAGTTCCGTTAGATTGGTGATAACAGCCGATACCCACTTCTTTGTTACCTAAATCTTACAAGATTACGCCTCGTTGAAGTGTGGCTATATCGCATTAGATCAGCTGGCTGGCATTCCCTGCTGTGTAGCGCTGGATGCCTGCTGTGGTTATATGGACCTGATAGGCCAGAAGTAGTATTATGATAAAGCTCTAACAGTAGTGGCCGGTCTTCTGAACCCTTATCATGCCAGCGGCCTCAATAGCCTAGTGCAATGTTTGCCACGCAAACATCGAGCGCTCCAAAACTCTCGCAGGTATTTGCTGCGTCCTTCCGAACCAAGTCAGAAGGCTTTCGCCGACAAATCTATAGACGTTTTAGGAGCTAGATAGAAATTGAGTTGTTGGTATTGCGAAAAATGGGTACTGCCACAATGCACAGTGGGTGGTTAATTAATTCAAATCACTTACCACATCAGCCATTTCGATGTATTATAGGTCAAAGATAAATCAAGTTAAACATTTGCTAAAAGCCCGTGCGCTAATACTGAACAAAACTAGCATTCAACGACGCAAGGGTATATATGAAATCACTCGATCATAAAGGTATAATATCGGCATTTAACAGCAGTACAAATCCAGTATCCAATGCTACGTTTTGTCGCCCTTGGCGTAAAAGAGAGCGTCCTCAGTTATTCGCTTGCTAGAAATAAAGTGAATCAGTGAAATAGGGCCGTTAAGGCGAAACTCCGAGACGCTCAGGGGATCTGATCGCAGATGCTGAACTATAATTCTATTTCAGAGTTTCTCGTCAGAAAGCGAGATTCTCGGGCTTTGTACCATCACCTGAAATAGTCTGGCAAATACGAGCTTATAAAGCAAGCTAGTAAAAAAAAATTACTAACTGGCTTTTTACTCTATTTTCCGTTAAAGCGAATCGTATGCGTACGTGTATTACATTCATTAATAAATTTCATCAAAAACTGTAACTTGAATGCCTTTACGTTGGCTTCCTAATGGAAGACATTTAGGCGTACCTAGTAGTTCTAATGTGGAGGCTTCCCAGTTTATTTCAGAGACGTTGGTTTCTCTATACGACTGTATCATCATGCAGTTACGCTGTCATCAATGCAGATGGTGCGTCCGGCTGTAAAAAATTGTTACGAAATCATGAAAGCTCGGGTGGCCTTTTCCGTCCAAATATTAGAAGGAAACAAATACTGACAAGGTTTCATAAATGGATAATATGTATTAAGTAATTATAACTGTTTTGACATTCCCAAAATTAATACCGAACAAAGCAAAGTTCATTCGCTTTTTTTTTGTTAAGTGAAATGAGTACGTATTTTCGGTATCTTTACGTTATCTAGATAGTTTTTCTCTTGTTGACGACAAACCGCTTTGGAAGTTGTGATGTAATGATTTTAGCTCGTTGTCGTAGACGCCTAGATAACTGTATGACACACAAGGATAGGTCTTATCCGTCAGTCAGGTAAATACTTTTGGGACTGCTGCATGCCGTATGCGTAATGGCTGCTTAAGGTGCCTAAGGATGTTCGCGCCCCTTTTTTGAGTCAGCATCGACAGTGGCTTGTTCCACTGCGTTTCCAGATTGATTTTGTTTGTGGCAACGGAATACAACACAATACACCCGCCATTTTAAGGCGGGTCTGTGTGCGAGCCCTATAGGTCTTCACTCTGGGGTATCTAGCCGAAGCACGGTATGCATTCGAAAGGGTTCTTATGATCCGTTTTTTAACACGATTGACAACAACACCTGCTGGCCAGCTACCCGTAAAATTGGCTACTGATTAAAGGAGAAATATCAAGGAAACGTTTCTATTTTCCATTCTTCGCTATTCGTTGTATATTATCACCGTTATGAATCGCGCATCGATAACCTGTGTGGTTCTCATTTCCAATTTCACACCTCCTGTTTTGCTGTCGCAGTTGTCTGCTATGCCGTGTACATGGCATAGGAAGTCTACAGTCGGGTCAAATTGCCATTTGTACGTTAGCAAAGAAGACAATACGTGGGCAATTGATTTTGCCGCACCCTGGCTAGCTAACATTTACGCCTTCTCAAGCGTGCGCCGGCCGCTATTCATAATATTTTCAGCTTTGTCTCCTCTACTATTCTGAATGTGAAGCTGTTTCTGCGGCCTACTTCTCAGCAGGTCACGGCGGCAGAGGATAAAATAGTCGAAAAGGATTGCGACGGCGTGGTATCCGACCCCTGGCTTGTTCACCGGCCTTTCCAGGTGTCATCCGCTATTGTTGGCTAATACTACCAACCTTCCATCGCTTTACACGACGGCCACTAGCTTCGGGCAATTACGAAAACTGAGGACCCGGGCCAATAGCGGTCTTTGCTTTGCGTCGCCTACTTAACTTGCTATCGGTTTAGCCTTGTCTATCAACATGTATGCAACCACAGCATCGACAATAAAAACGCAGCGCAGGAACTGAGGAGAAAAAGCTGTGTCAGCGAAACGAAAAAATGCCTTTTCTCTGTGCTTTTATGGTAGATTCTTATCGAAATTGAAAGTGAGATTTATTTGATTGGCCCGATTCAACATCGCGCCATGAGAGAGAGAGAGAGAGAGATGGGAAGGCCAGGAACGAGGTGGTAATTCTACTTCGGATCAGTTGGGAACAAAACACAGCCACTGCAAGATCAGCGTCGCAGGTTAGATATTCCGATACGTTTTATAAATAGCTTGATAAATTAGATAGATTGTTTTTTCTTTTTCAGAACGGTACAAAAGAGCTAGGTATGTTCAACACGACGACTAAACTGGGAAATTTCAGAATACAAATTGGCCCTAAAAAAATGTCATATATATATACGCGTTGTATTAGCATGCAATTGTGGTGCAGCATGTCAGGAGATTGGCTAAAAAACCAGCGCACATGTTTTCTCATTCGGCAAACTTATGCTTCTCAATCTAGACGCCTCTGCTCTTTCTACGGATAGTCCATGAAAGGCACTGTCTAAGATATTCAACCACGCTTCTGTCGTCAGTTCGTTATAGACCACTGGGCTCGAATGTGCAAGCAGTGCTTAATTTAGGCGAGGTTTTCACGATTTCATCCCTAATCTATGCTAATCCCGGCCGTGCTTCCCCAGGTGCCTGCTTGTCCTATACGCACGATACGATCTCAATGTTAATTTTTAAATCTCTCGAGAGGTTACTTTGCATATGGGTACGATTATGTAAAAGTATGTCAAAGTTCTTTCAGAGAGAGTAGGGCGGTAAATCATATGCTTTGAAAATAACGGACGCTACCTTGATAAGAATTCTACCTGCCAACGCAAGGAGCAGGTGAACGTAACGTTGCTATCGTGCGAGTGATCAATACCATACTTGCCTTACGAGACCCTTGAGACAATCGTTGATGTGACAGTTTGAAGCCTTCGGAGCCTTTTAAACAGTTGTTGTGCAAATAGGCCACATTGTGATGTAATTTTTCCCGTTTTAGAAATAGTCCGTAGTTCACGAAGATGCTGTAACCGTTAGCTTCGAGACGCATCAACATACACCACTGATCAATCTAAATACCATAGGAGTGAATTGAGTACAAAGAAATCCGAGTAGTACTTACTTAGTGTATTCTCTCATCCCGTGTATTCGAATGGAATTGCATAAAATAGGTTCGTATTATACATTATCATATTTTACACATGTTGCTGGACGCTTTTAGCCTACAGGGTGGCCCAGAGCCGGCCTTAAATTTGTTTTAAGTGCGAACGTTGAGGGTAACAAGGCAGTCTGAAGGGAGGTTAGTTTTGATAAGGAAGTGATTCGCGGTGCCACATTGAACAAACTGTATCATAAAATCGTGCTGCGACAAAAGATCATCATCGTAAAATCAACATTGGTAAACGGTTCTTTGGTAAATCCGTTTTTACTCGAAGGTCTACGTAAACAAACAGAATCGTTACGTTTGAGGCCGACGATTTCAAGGGTCAGAATAGAAACTTTGCTTCATCTCAAGGAAGTGACAGCTTGGTATACTAGGTATGTATCTGCTATACAAAGTTCGTTTGAACTTCTTCTGTAAACCATGCACAATAAATGCGACGGCGTTCGCTTCCCGGCTTAAGCTTAAGGGTCCGTATAGCTAAAAGTCTGCTCCACTCAAAATCGTATAAGCCTTTGCACGAAAGCAAGTTCAAACGCAATTTACCTGTTGTTTTTAAGTGGAGGCTAACTTGAACATCATCATGAAACGCTCTATACAAGTTGCTCCTATAGCGATTTTACTGTACAATTCTTATAGTTTTTCAATGAACGAGTCGAAAAGTGCAAAAAAGAAACGAAATTTCTAGAAAGCCTTTCGTATTGAGTCGACTTGACAGACCCAAAGCACGGTTTCCATCTATGTGGGCTGATTATTAGCTAATCCATTTAAAAACAACGTACCTTTTCGTGGAGCAGTCATCTGCGCGTTTCGTCCATTTAGTGTTACTTCTTTACGTATTTAAAATATCCACTTCAAAAACAATGTAATATTTTGTTGAATCGGACCGTGCTGGTATTGAATTTATTTGTTTGTCTGTATATCTTCATTAGTCACCCAGTGATGTCATTGATCACCTCATCACAATGACGATACAACAAGATTTGCTATCCACTTTTGAGACATCCAAGCACACTCCTAAATACGCACAATGTTTAAAGTGAGTCACAATAATATTACATAATAACAGTAACGAGTTAGCCAATATTTGCTATTCCAGGCGTGCTTGATGGCTTTTTTACTCGGCACGCAATTATTGTATCACAACATGGACCGCGTATTGCGTTTTGGACAAATCTATTACATTGACAATGTACTACTATCTGAGGCAGCGGTGAAGTGTCCTCAGGGGAAACCAGCCGAAGCAACTGCGACTCGTCTGGAAAGGTAGTACTGCTGGCCCTCGCAATGCCTAGTAGTGATATTAGCCATGATGACTCAGTCTCCACGCCACCGTTAGTGAGATGGTCCCTCTGATAACAGAAGCCACAAAGCCCTTGCTCTGACAGAATTGCGGGGTCTCCCTTCTACCGTCGTACCCTTGACCTTAATTTCAAATTTTTCACCCGTTTCCTTTCTGCTCACTACGACACCAGCACCATACGGAGGCTTACACAGATTTGCACAAAAACTAGATAGATATTAACAATATTACAATCAACGCCATCGCCACCGTCAGTTAAAACAGTAACAGCGGCATTGCAGGGTTTTCCATACGCTAGTCGCTCACGCACACAAAGTGCTTAGGCTGAATTGAAGTAGCGTCTGCTGCAGCGTCCGCCACAGAGCGACACAGATGAACAAGTTTAAATGTGTTTTTTTCTTCCGGCGTTCCAAGTTTCGCTGGCGGAAGAACGTTTACATAAAAGGGGGACCAGTTGCAAACTCTGATAGGTCCCTTGACACCAGTACAAAAAAAGTACGGCTTCGCAGCTAGGTTGGTATGGATGCTTCGGAGCGGCACAGTGAGCGGGGGACGACGGTTCTGTTGGTCAGTTTCTGTTAATGTAGCATATATGATTGCATTTGTAATTTGGAAATGATCGTCGATGTGGCATTAGTTCTTTGTTGTGTTTACCGAGGCAAAGATGGCCAGAAAAAAAATGGATAAGAAACACGCCGCTTCAGGCTCGATACGAACGAGGGAATGAAAAAGACATTTTACAGATTTTCATTATCGATTCTTAGAAGTAGGGGAGACGTTTATATGTGGAATATTACAGTCATCAGTCTTCTGATTCTTCAGTACGCTTAAAATTCAGCATAAAGATTATGCAATGGATTCGATTTGCAGCAGCAACACAACATATTGAAACAACTGACGAAAGGTAGGTAATGTTTTTGTTACATTTAGACATCGTGGGATGACGCTTTCCGCGATTTTGCTCAATCTATGAATTTATTAATAAATAATTTTCTTAAATAAAATAGTGCATACTTTTTGTGATTTAAAACTAAACGGTTTCCTTAAAGAGCCAAAAACCACTGATAGGCTATTCAAACCCCGCCATCGATGCGCATTACGTCCGGGATAAAATGAAAACAGCCCTCGGTATAATGTCCTGGTATTCAATTGATTCAATAAAATGTATTGAGTTGAACGTACAAATAAAGAATTACTACGAGTATGAGTTCCGCCTTTTATAACGCGGAAAGATTAGCTTAACTTAACGATAACTAAGGCGTAACTCGTAGTTCGTTAATTGTAATTAACTGCAGATCGGCACGTAATTCATTCAGTTGATAAGTAATGTGATAACCTGTGCCACTATCTATCTATACTTAAGGATGAGGATCTTCTACACTTCTAGAGAAGTCATTCTACTCGAAGGATAAAGAAAGTCATTTGCTAAATGCAAAAGAAAAAGCGGCACTAGATCAGATCTCTTTCAAACTATGGTACAACATATTTCAACAGATTAAGGCCACTCGTTTGAACCTCATGGAACGCAGCCGTTAGTAAATACGGTGAGATAGTCAGCGGCACTGATTTGTGTTCGATGCCGATCAGAAATACGGGCGAAGGGAGAAAAGCGTCATCGATCGCATTAGGTACGCTGTAGTATGGTTTTTCCTAATTTGATAGTTTGCATATTTCGACGCTATTCAATGTATACTTGATTTACAGAGAAGCAGTACTATATAGTTGTTACTAATGGGAGATCCATGGAATGAAGGTCTTTATTACCCCCAAGTTGATTTATTTTTGCGCTATTGATATAGTCTAGTGATGATGATGATGATCTGTGAACTGTGGTAACTGAAGGCGCGGGCTGTGCTTTCGATATTGCTATTCGTACCCTAGCTTAAGGCTCATTGGCTTTCTTCAAAACTTTCAACAAGTCATTGAATAGTAAAACGATACAAGGATATTCTAAGGCCACGCCCTGTCTATGACTGTGCTGCGAATATAAAATTTTTTCAAATTAAGTACAAAAAGAACGAACCAGACAAAACGACTGGTGACCGGGCGACTACTGATAGTGATGTACAGTCGATCTTGCGTCGCTTCATGCGTCAATAGCAATCCTACATTTCATTTTGTAGTAAATCTTAAATAGCGACGTCAATATCTTCATATTCAATGAATCGTGTCTAGTAATAATTAGTAGGTTTAGTTAAAACGGTGGCCAATTTGTCCTGGAAATGCAATAAAAGAGTCGATGTCGAGGATTTGAAGGACTAGGTAAATAGTCGCAGTCGCAAAGTGAATTTCTGAAAATAGCCATTTGCAGAAAGCGAAGCTCGGAGCCTTACTTTGAAGGCCTAGTTTTCTCCTTAGTATCTATATGGGCGACATTCAAATACACACGAATACGTAACAAAAAAAAATATACGTATTAAATACAGGGTTCAACAGGCGTCTATGATTTATCAGCTTCACCCAAATAGATCTACGCTTTCAGAAGCTGCCTGCAAGAAAAACAATGTAGATAGATTAGAAGACAAAAAAATCATTGAAAACTAAGCCTATTTGTATCTTTTATACATAGATGTTTGCAGATGGTAATCAAACACAGGTTATTTTGTGCTAAATGAAGCTGGACCTTTCGGCTGAAATAAATATGACGTCGCATCGCAAGCCGCCGACTACGAAAGTAACGTTGTTCAGCCGCGACTCATTCCTAAGAAAACGACAAATCAAGGATAGTGAAAATGGTGAAAACGACCTACAAATAAACATCGTCTAAGGATCACACGGTTCACTTTTGTTTCCTTTGATTTTTTACAATGAGATTGTCTAGTTCTTGACATAATTTCAACCCGACCCAATCTCAAATGGCCAGACATATTTCATAGAGAGATCCAGGCCGGTATTCGAGTTCCGATCAATCCTGCCTGCCCTGTAATCAGGTGGGAACGATTTCGAGGTCTTCTCTAAATTAAGCAGCGAACGTTAGGCTGGTAGAGTCTTGTTTAGAGATCGCGAGAAGCTCTTGCCAAATCGAATGCGCTACCCAGAAGAGAGGCCGCCATTGATCTTAATATCCTAATGTAATATTGGTGGCCGGAGCTGCTAGTCTATCCGAGCTTTGCGAATGATAACACCACGACGAACGGAGAAAAGTTGTTAGCAAAATGTTTGGCTGTGAACCTATCAATATGCGCTGACTTGATAATGGAACGGTCCCAGAGTTTATGACCAAGAAAAGAAAACTTGTCTAGATAAAGCACTGAGTGAAAGTTCAAGTGTAGATGCTGTTTCGACGCCTCGTCTCCATGGTTATAGCAATACAGAATTAGCAAAGATGTCGTATTAATAAAATTAGTGTCAGCGCATAAGCCTGGATATTTACATAGAGCTAAGTACGATAATTTGCTAGGTAATTAGTAACAGAAAACTATGCCGGTAATACGCTCTGAATGATCTCTGAAGCAATCTAGGGTGGTAGTACGCAAGATGCGAAACGTTCAAATTTCAAGCGGTCTGATTGAGAATTTTAATTTTGAATTATAAATAAACTAGTTATTTAAGGCGAGGAAACATCATCGTTCTCTAGCCCAGAGCGTTGAAATGAAAAAAAAACTATATAGAGACGGTGAAACCAACCTATATAGACAATATATAATAATCAATGCGTGTCGCCTTTTACAGAGAGGAAGACAGTAGCCCTTTTGGCGGTAGTTTCGGTGAGCAAGAACTGAAGGGTGCCACAACCCCTATTGTCAACAATTAATGGTGAAATCTATCCAAGTATTGACACAGATATGATTACATGCTATCTACTATCCGGAAGGCATGCCAACGACAAGATTTAATTTCATGGTCGGGAACGATCTAGCTTCGGAAAAATTGTCAAACAAATGTAGTCATCTAGTGAAAGGACACACGTCGTAGCTGTTATATATACATATACAATGCCTTTGCTATAACGAGTTGGTATTGCTGGATCAATGTGCAATTTTTTTTTTAAATGGTAGAGAAAATGGGCAGTTCACGTACGACGAAATCCGTTACGAAGAAGCCCATTACGCAGAACATTAACTTGATGATATGATCGCTTTGACGTTGCTTCGCTTTGGGTTACTTTGTCCTGATAGTCATCGTTGTATCGGATCTCTCTGCTCTTCGTTTAAAGTTGCTCTATCAAAAACAAGCTAAACATTATTTGACTTCCGGCCTCGGGTTTAAAATTACGTTGCAATTATCCATAGACGTCTTTTGTGGCATGCTGCATTTTTCGTTGCAGACCTGCTGCTATCTTTTTGTTGGCAGCCGCGTCTGCGGTTATGGGAGCAAAGCGTTGTTAAAAACGTCAGGACGTCAATGACAACGATGCAAAAAGGTCGCACAATCAGTCATCGGTTACCGCATTCGTTGCTGTCCACTGTGCGGTCCAGTCAAATACAAATGACTCTGTCGTTAGATTTGTCCTTTTAATTGTTAAAATGGCATAAAATTAAGGTAAATTTTATCGTTTTCCGCTTGGAAAGTCCGAACAGCCAAAGCTAGGCCTTGTACGTCTTACTAGCTAACAGTCAGTGGTAAGAGCAATACTTTTAAAAATTATTTCGTTTCTATATATGTGATAATTTTTAACACACATCGTATTCACAACGAATTCGATTTTAGTGGTTTTTTCACTCTAACTTGCCCCTGGTTGTAGACACTTCGGCAATTTTGTGTCTCAAAGTACATAGAACTATTATTATAGACAGTATTAATGGGACATGACTGTACGAAAACATATGGAAGGCCGTCGAAGACGTCAACCAAGACGGTGTCATCAACAAGCTTCACTGAGTGTACAGAATACGGAAAACGCACCTTTGTAGAAGTAAAACAACAGAAAACAGCGTTACGCCAGGCGTTTCCTTTGTCGTTTTTAGTTTTAGACGATCAGAAAAATTAATTTGCAGCAAACTGCTCTGAAGCTCTCCGTATATCGGTAGCTGAAGCCTGTAATATATACAGCACATATAATAATGTGGTGTAACAAAGAAACTTCACGTATATTACAGATATATTTTTTCGTATAATCATGCAGCTAGGTTATGTATCTCTGTTCGTTAGCGTATCGATTCTATCAAGCGGTCATAAGACTACTAAATTTTGATAGAATATAATAATACAGCTGAAAATCTAACAGCAAAATTTGCTAGAAGGAAGATAAACAAAATATCTTCTGATTTTTAATCTAAAGTAAAATTCCACCCACCTACCTACCTCGTTATATTGGGCTATGACGGAATCTATATAACACGAACTCATCCATGGAAGCATCTGACCACTGCCTGATCGAAAGCTGTAGAGCATCTGAGCAAATAGTTGATTCGGAACTCGTAGGTCTGTGGAGGGTCTTTGAGGTTGTAGAAATATGTACAACTACGAAGTCTCGTACTCTTCCCACTAGGATACGACGTTACAAAGATTTTTATGAACTGTGAAATTGCGTCGGGCGAAGACAGAACCGATCTGGAATATGGAAGGTTTAGTAAGTCATATTGATTATGCCTGGTTCGGCACTGAACAAATTGCTTGTCGTATAAAAGCCTGCAAATAGGGCTACCTCTAGCAAGAAAGTTATCAACGTTCCGGCTGAATTGATTCTTTATTTATGCGTCAAGCGTTCAGTAATGCGTTTACTATCTAATAAATTTCACATATAATGCACAGATCGGACAGTAAGTGTATCAACGTTCCAAGCGTTCGCCTGAAGCTAGGTCCTATGTCGTTTGTTGCCGACGTTTCGGCCACTTAGGCTCGACAAATTAAAATCGCTAAAATAGTGTAAAATTAAGGAAATGTTCCCGAATCTTCTGATGTTATTTTTACAATGTTCTGTTGTTAGGTTGAAACTTAACAAAAAGTAATGCTTCAGCGACATACTCATTAATCTATACTAGTAGAGGCCTGAGTTGGCGGGTTCTATCGAGCTAAAACCATTTTTCGATGGGCGGATTAAGCTTATTTTTTTCATGGATTGCTTAAGTTCAGTTTTGGGAAGGTCCGCGCGGAAGATCAACGCTGCTGCTGGGCAAATACTTTTGTCCTTAGAAGACAAAGCTTGCTTTTTCCTAGAAAACATCATTTGGTTGACCGTGAACGAGCGGAGCAAATTTTTCGTCACTTTATACATTTGACAACGACAAGCAGCAGAGTATCGTACGTGTCGTTCTATTTGTGTAAAGATTGTTTTCGGTGAACGAGCGTGCCAAGCTTGCGTGACGTGAATAGGTGCTTGTGAGTAGGAACTATGCTTCGCAAGAAGCTATAACTTTATAGCTAACAGTTTAACGCGACGTAATTTTTATTATAAATATAATAAGGCAACACAAATAAGATTTGTTTAATAGCAAAATAGGGCGAGACCCGCGGATGGCCTTACGGCCATTGTTGTAACTACAATAATGTATCAGTTTATTTACGTAACGATGGTTTTGGATGCGTTCAAGCCGATTTCAGGTGGTTTTTGAGTGAATTTCTACTAATTATCAATTGAGAAACAAAAAAGGGTTGATTTTTGTGAAAAATCCTAGACCGCTTTTTAGAACATCATGCGAAAATTTCAACATGTAATGTACATGTAACAATGTAATTACTTATTTGAAACTTAAAAACAAACTGAATATGCTATTCGAGACATGCCAGATATTTGAGCCCTTTATTAACAAATAAATTAAATGAAATAAAAATAAATTAATATACCGAACGAAATATATCAAGATCTATATGCTTATCTAGAGGACTATGTATTCTATACCTCAGTAGCTACTTATTAGAAAAAAGAAAAATCGTGAAAGCTGGTGACGTCTAACTTAATCTGCATGTACGTTCTTCAAAAATCGGACGGCCACCCTATTCACCTGTGTCCTGAATAAAAAGTTAATCAACCAACACAAAAATCAGCAATAAATAAAAATGATTAGGTGAGACAAACTAATTGCAAAAGGATACCTATTGATCTACCTTACTGTCTATGCTAGGCTGCATGTATATATATATATATATATATATTATTACATGCATTATTATTATATAAAAACAAATATATTATAAATAAATATAAAAATAAATCAACGGAAAGAGAAGTATCTAATAAAATATTGTGTGTTAATAATAATATATAAATAATTAAAAGGTATGCATAAGCCAAAAGCAGGATTATAGTTAATACGCAAATGGGTGTAAAATTAAAATGGGTGATTTTTTTTTATTAAGATACAGTAGTATAGTATAGAAGAAATAATTCTAATAATAATAATGGTAGTGATAGTTATAAAAGAACTGATACAAATACGAGATTATCATTGTATTGGAGGTACCCGAGTGCTGTCTAGCATTTTTCATAACAGACCAAATTTTAAGTGGTATCGTTAGATAAGCATGGGTACGCATGCATTAAAAAAGCGTCTCTAAATAAAAGTTTGAGTAAATACAACGAAGTAATGTTAAATACCTATTTTTTTTTCTTGCGTGTAGTTTTATTTAACAACGAAGTATTGGACACCAGGGGCATTGTTGTACTATTTTTTAGGGAAAACTAGGGCGAAAGTCATATGAGGTTGCTAGGAAAACAGGCGATCAAAGCCAAACATCAGTCGTCTAATTGAAATCTGAGTATCTGAGATTCGATCTCAGATTCTGGAGTTTTTAGGATAATATCCGTAAGGCAGTAAGATCTAACTGAAGTCTCTGAATAGCGAAGCCACAAACTCACATGATCAGACTTCAGAAACTGACGAGGAAATGTGC